TATGTATGTATGTATGTATGTATGTATGTATGTATGTACGTCAGGCATCTGGAAGAGACTCTTATATTCGGAACTGACCTGTTTAATTTAAAAAGCTGCCATTTTTAAAGTATTAGCTAGGGGTTAGTCAAATATTTAATAATTTGATAATAACTTGTCTTTTATTCTCAGCCAAAAATGTTTTACCTGAAATTTTTAATTGGGATTATGCCAGAGAATAAGTTCATCATGTGAATACATTTCAAAATTTAGTTCACATCATCCAAATGTGCTTTGAAGTTTTTAATGCAAGAAGTGCAATAGAAATACATTTAAGTTAAGCCAAATACTTGCCATTATGTCATTTTTATTAGAAAATTTTAAATCAATTATAAATTCTTCCTTATATTTATTTGTATACTGTCATCAGATTCTGGGGTTCATATATTTGTTTTCCTCATCTGTTACTAGTTGTTTAATAAGAGGAAAAGGAATGTCCTGAGGCTAAAGTATTTAATTTATTAGTCATTATTTATCTAGCATTTAATCTATTTTGTTTTAATTATTTATACCACTATCTATGAAGGTACTGTGAAGCCATCCTAAATAGTAGATAACTGGTTCTTTATTTCATCAAAGGATATTTGGGAAGTACAGGTCAATGACTTATATCATATAGAAAATGTGTAGTAATAGTAAATGTGTGTAGTAGTAAACTGATTCATTTCAATTTAGTGTGAAATCGAGCTCTCCTTATTGCTTAGAGAGGCGGTATTCTAACTCTTATGTTGCTATTCTATAGAGTTTGTGAATTTCCTTTCCTTTTTTTAATGAACACAAGTGCAGGATTTGTATTCGGTGTGTCCAGCATGATAACATGTTTAAATGTGTTTAATGAGAAATTAATGCAGAATGTATGAGTAACAAGACATAATTCTAAATAGTTTCTTTTTGTTTTTTGTTAATGTGACCAATTTATATAGCCACAAAAATCAATGTGGCAATCAAAGAAAAAAAATAGCAACATTAATTATAATGAAACATATTTTTTGCTAGAGGCAACATCAAGCAACCAAAAACAACCAGAAGCTCTACCATTAGAAAAACATACATGAATTAAATTGTTGTAACTGGAGAGGCAAAATGAAGTCTCAGATTTCTACTTCTCCAAGACCACCAGTTTCTGAAAAAGAATCTGCAAGCTTCAAGAATACCTAAAGATGTATTTGATTCTAGGTGAAAGTGGAAATAGGATGATTCTATGAACTAAGCTTGATTTCAGTTTTAAGCATCCAAGCTAAAATCATTTCTGCTGAATTTAAATGACATTACATCAAAACATATGTAGGTTTAAAATATTTTTTAAAAAATCCTGATTTACTCGGACCTATATAATAATTTAATATTTCATTACATTATTTACAAAATAACAGGCATAAGAACATCTAACCAGCTAATAAAAAGAAACCAATTACAAATACAATAAAAATATTGAATATGTGTACAAATTTGGTACTGAAATGAAAACAACATTGGCACAAAAAGATACTTTTTTTCTAAGGTTATTGAAGATATTAATGCAAAGGAAGGATAATATGAGGGAAGGACATCTTATAAGTAGTTGGTGTGAAATAACTCCATTTTTACAAATTAATTGGGTTTGAACTGATGTGCCCTTCCAAGATTGGAACCTGCAAGAATATTTTTTTTCAGTTGCATCCCTAAATTTAATGCATTAATCCAATTTATAGATTATCTTGCAGCTCTAACCTTGCATGGCCCTTCTTTTCCAAGAAAGACTACAGTTCATGACCTACATAAAACTGATGTTGAAGATATTAAAAGAGCATGAAGGAGGGTTTAAAAAAAAGGAAACTTGTCAATTGTCACATATCAAGGGGAGGAAACCCTAAACTACAGTCAAGTCAAAGCACTTTTATTCCACCACTGGAATAAAAATGCTTGAATAGATTTCATTGTCAGGGCAGAACTTTAAAGAGAATTAATAAGATTATAACTTTCCTATATCTCGCTTGACAGAATTCATTTATCAGGACATCCAAGCAAATTTCAGTGTCAAATCAGTGCCAAGTGTTAGACTTGATTTCTCCCCCAAAAAAGTTATGGCAGTCTGTTGCTGATTGTCGTTTCATTCCGATCTGAAACAACAGCATTTCCAAGTTTTAATTTTCTATGACATAATATTAAGTTACAGTGTACAGGCATTATAGCTATGCTGAGGGAAGTTTTAGTTTATTTTCTGATCCCAAAACCAGAGAAATAACTCATGGAACAGGTTTTGTTTTTGTTTTTGTTAGTCTTGTCATATATTATCAAAGACAAGGAACCTCTACTTGGTTTTCAGTGATTGCTCTTCTCCTTTAGATTACTTTGAAATCTACATAAAACTGGATTTTGGTATATGATTGTGCTCACATATACATTTGTGAAACGTCTATTTAGTTATATAAACAGCTTCTCAGCCAGTTTCTGGAGCAGTTGTAAAATAATTATTATATGGCAAAATACTCTGAAATATTAGCCTTTTTTTTTTGCATGATTGCTAACCTATTCATTTTTAAATGAATTATGCTGTTTGCATAATAATGCTAAGAAATTCACAAATTGTTTCTTTTTTAAAAAAAAGAGCATTCATGATTAATGTTGACTAATGTCAGTTCTATTTAATAGTCCTGGCAGATGCTCTCCAGGCAATGTTGTAGTTTGTCCTTGTGATTAATGTGGCAACATTAAATTTTGAAAAGCCTGCCTTAATTTTGATAGTCAGGGTTATCTCCTATTGAAGAACTGCTTTAAATGTTAATATGTTAAGGATGTACGGACAGAGTTATATAGATACCTATGTGAAAATTTTGCAAAAGTAAATGTTAGAGAATAATAATATTTGCTCTAATTAATTGGGAATGGGAGTGTGACATTTTGGGGTATCTCAAATGTATTAACTTGGGGAAAGACAGGCAGTCTTTTGAAATGGCAATATAATTTGCAATGCATAACATTAGGAATAGGTCTAAAATCAAAAAGTCTAGTGGAATAATTAGCTGTGAATGGAGGCTGCTGGTAAACATAAAATATTCTAAACCTCAGGATTCTGTGCTTTGAAAATAATCCTCCTATATGATGCTGCCTGATTTTATTTACCATGTATGTACAGAAATAATGCTCTGATATTGGTTTTCAAAGAAAATGAAAGCTGTATTTCTGACTTTTATTATCCTCCACAGATATCTTTAGCTATTCCTGAACTAATGGTGTTTTTAACTCTGTCTATGTGGCTAGTTTCCTAGATACACAGTGCTTGAAGCCAAGTTTCTGAACATTTTCAATGGTTTTCTTCCATGTTTTCTTTTTCTTCTGTGTCTTTTTAACAAACAAACAAAAAACTTTGCTTCAGGCAATGAAGATTTTAGATTTTAGGCAGTGAAGTCCCCTCCCCTCCATCGTCTGTTTATTGCAGAATTAAAATATCTATCTCACTATCTACACTTTCCATACATACATATGCACACATGGAATTGGAATAGGAAATTTATGGTGTGTTTATCAGAAATACATTTAGACTGACATGCAGTAGTTCTTGGTTTAGAATATGTTCTGAATGCTGAAAATGCTTGTTTGTTCCTCTTCTGGTAAGTGTCCTCTATAGATCACTCTTTTAATTAGCACATTGGTGTGAATAGGTCCCAAAACTGCCCTCCCACTAATTATTAAGATTAATAAACTTTTTATTTATATTATACACTTAATATTCACCAATGATGTTGAACGACAGTGAACCCTATAAAAGTTAAGGGTTTTTTATGTGTTTTCTGCTCTGGGTCTTAGCAGATGACTGTGTCTCTAACAAAATGTGGAAGAAGACAAGCAAACCAAAACCAGCAGCTTTTAGAGTTAGTAGTCGTTTGCTCACATTTTTTTTCATTGAGTCTGTCTGAAAAGTAGGTGTTTTAACATACAACCATCACTTAACACGTGTATTTATTTTAGCATGATGGTGTTGTGTTGTCATCTGCCACGCTGACACAGCATGTTATTTCATCCATATTTGCTTTCTTACTGTACAAGGCATTTAAAATGGCTTAGCAAAGAAATGAATTCTTGTCATAAAGATTTACTCTCTGACTTCAAAACTTTTCTTTTGAACAATTCTCTCTGTTGGTTGGTTCAAAATTCAGTCGGATACTATTTGAGCATTCAAAAAAGAAAGAGAGAGAAAAAGAAAGAGAAAGAGAGAGAGCTAATGTCAAGAATTTAAAAGTATGTTACCTTACCTTTGTTGATCTGTGCTAAGCATGTTTTAATTGATACATTTTTTACACATGTGTATTGACAAGCTGAATCATTGTTATGCTGCTTCTCTCTGTTTGCATGATATGATTTTATGTTATATTTTTTTCCACTCACCAGATGTTTCCAACATTTTGCTTCCCACCACTGTCATCCCCTCCCTTACCACTGCAACAGTCACAGCCACTGTAGCCTTAACAGGCATAGGCACAGTCACATCGGCAACAGCCATCAACACCCGAGGTACAGTATACTTCTTTGTTATGGCCAGAAAATCACAGTATAAATAGGCTCTCACAGGGCTAGAAGCCTTAAAAGAATGATCAAAATGCTAAAGGAAAAATGACATTTCTGTGCACATTTTAGTTTTGATAAGTAAGAAGTCCAGTTTGGTTGTCTGCAATTAACATAGCTGTGAATGATTCAACAGCATTTTCTCTAATGACATTTATGAATGTGGGTGGGTGTTTTAACTGCTTTCCTAAGTAATTGCTTCCTTAAAGATTATCATATTAAACTTGTGTTAGAAGCAAACCTACTTAATTTTAAATTAACATTATCTCTTAAGAGGATATGTGTTCCGTGGCTAATATATTGTCTTTGTACAAAAGATTTGTATTTAACCATTTATTTATTTAGAACTGTTTAATTAATGATTTTAGTGTAATTTCTTAATAATTCTGTTTAGTGAACAAAATGATAGGACTTTCTAATTTCTTATACTGACTTTGTTCAATAATTTTTCACCTTCAGTGAGGATTTACTTTACATTTTGGAAGTCTAATGCATCTTATATTAGAAAATTGTTGGAAAGTGTCAGTTTTCTTTTACTGTATAAAAGAAAACTGACACGTTCCCAATTTCCTCCACTTACTGTACCTCCAATCTATGTTGTTATATACATTTAAGTTCTAAATGCACTTTACAATCTTACAGCTGAATTCATGATTTCAGCTAAGTAAGTTGAATGGAAAAAAAATTTCATTAGAAGTACAGATAGTCCTTGATATACAACAGTTATTTAGTGGTCATTTGAAGTTATAATGGCATTGAAAAAGTGACTTACGACCATTTTTTGTACTTATGACCATTGCAGCCTCTCCAGAGACATGTGATCAAAATTCAGATGCATGGCAATTGATTCATATTTATGATGGTTGCTGTGTGTCCTCCTGACAAGCATAATCAATGGGAAAGCCAGATTCACAGATTCAATTGTGTTATAAAATTGTGTTAGCAACTGAAGTGAATCACACTTAGCAACTGTGCACAAGAAAGATTATAAAATGGGGCAAAATTCACTTAACCAATGATATCACTTAGCAACAGAAATTTTGGGGTCAGTTGTAGTTGTAAATCACGGGTGTCAAACTGATAGCCTATGGGCTAGATGCATCATATGCAGGTCACATCCACTCCAGCTCTGCAAAGGGAAAAAACATCATGAAACGTCACATGATAGCAATCTGATGCCGCAACTTTGACACCCGTGTTGTAAGTTGAGGACTATCTGTACTCATTTCACTATGACACTAGAATGACACTGAAATGGCCTTTGGTACCAAGGACTGTTAGAAAGGGCAAAATCAAAAATTTGGTAGAGATATCCGTGAAAGAAGAGCATAGCACTATATGGCATTTTGTAATCTGATCTGCTCTGCAGGTTCCCTGGTTCTCAAGAAATCATTTTTAGGGGCTTTGTACTTTTCAGGAAGGCAAAGAACAGTAAGTTTTGGCCAGCTCATTTTCTAGGCAGGCATCTGAATGTCTGACTGAGCATTACAATTGAGTTTAAGAGATTATAGATGTAGGTTTAACAATGTTTTTTTCAGATTGAACAGCACTAGTTTTTTAAAAAGAGAATCTCAACCTTTTTGGAATGTCTTCAAAAACATTTAGAATGTCTTTATAAGTCATATTAAATTAAATGAACTTAAATTTAATTATCTAGCTTTTAAAAAAAATATCATTTAACTGTTATTTATCATTTGGATCATTCTATAATAGAAGCACCGTATTGAAGCCCTGCTATTCTTCTATCTCAGAATCTCTGAAATTCTTCTCTCTAAATATGCTTAAAACAATAGTTTCAAGCGGGAATGGAGAAAATGCAACCAAATAATGTACCATTTCATACAATATGTAATGAAAACTCCATCTTAACTATTAGGTTACTACACATCAAACTGATTTCCTATGACCATGGGGCATATGCTATTGGCTATATTCCACGAAAAATAACATTTTTAATTGACTGTAAATATATTTATTCCAAACATATTTTATCTGCATACAGTTCAGAAAATAACTTTTAAAAATTGTAAATCTTATTTTTATTAGTAGCATACTATTTCACAGAAGGTCTTGTATTACTTTTTAGTCAGAGATATATTTTCACTTTTGTTCCTTCTATGTATTAAGTGTTTTTATGACCTTCGGAATCACCATTGTGATGATGTTACCTAATTGCTACCTAATACATACATACATACATACATACATACATACATACATACATACATACATACATACATACACACGCACACACACACACGCACATACATAATGATAAAGACTACATATTTGAAACAAGCCAATATTTGATCTAGATACTATAATTTTAATACATGTTAATTTAATTCATACATTTGTTATGATCACTATGACATTCTATGAAATTCTGTATGGCTTTCAAATTCCAAAAACAACAAAAACAATTAAGAAGTCAAAAATAACCCAAATAATAAACCCAGGGTCCAATAAATTTATCAATAAATACATTTATCCCAGTCTTTGGAATAGAGCCAGATTTTAAGGAGCAAGGACATTCATATCTCGAGAGGCAACAAAAAATACACACTTCCTTGGTCCTGCAAGATAAGGGGACATAGAGTGAGCCCACCCTGCAAACATATTGGAGAGGCAGAGCCATGTAGATTACATTATAATACTCACAATACATAAATGGGGTATGAATAATTGTTTGATCAGCATTCTTTGTCAAGGAAAGGGTGAAATTGTCACAAAGACCTTTGCATCTATTTTTTTAAACTTGGAACTGCAAGTCCAGAAGGATACTTAAGTTGTGTACCACGCTTCAATAAGGAATAAGGAAGATCAATGATGAAAGCCTTAATAATTCAAGCAGCCATCTCCACCAAGTCTTGTGATGATTGAGCCAAAATCTATTCCTCCCCATCCAAACCCATCCATTGGTACTACATCAGTACATTGACAACTTTATCAGCAAAGCTCAGGTAACTGGCAAAAGTTTCTACCTCAACAAAAAGATACACAGCTAGCCATTCAGTGCAACTGTCCCTGCACTCAAAAAAAGAGAGGAAGAGAATATTCATTTATTCTATCCATGCAAATGAACCTTGCTCGTGTTAAGTGCAGATTCAATCAATTATGAAAAGATTCTCATTGTTCTTACTACAATCTTACATTTGGGGCTTTTTTTGTTTTTTTTACAACTCATATTACAGCATTCCTCTGTATAGGCCACTGGATAGTGCATGACATCTCAGAACATTTGAAACACATAATTGTTTTTAAGATTATAGTAGCATCTTATTTACTGCTGAACCTGTATTTCCAATGAATAAAATATTTGAAATCTCTTGTTCTTGGTTTATTTTAAAACATCTGATTACAATATTTTGGGTGTCTTGCAAACTAAATATAAGTGAATCATTTATTGTCATCAGTGCTGTCTCTGTCACAATACTAGTTATTCTGCCAAATATTTTATGAGAGCATTTAAAGACTTTAAGGGCTTTTGGCTACATAACAAATCTCTTGTAGCCGATGTGATCATTGAATTTCTGGCAACAACATCTTAGGAAACAAATTTTCTAATTGTTAAATGTAACTAAGGGTTCAGCCTCATTTCCTGATTTTCCCAGAGCAAAGATGCCCCAATAACCTTTTATTGAAGACATAAATAGACAATATCCTCCACACATCTTTTCTTGTTCCACTTCAGTAATGATATTTTCTGAGTTCTGGGAGCATGAGATATCTATAATGCTATCTGTAAGCAGTGCTTCGTTTAATTATAAGCAGTCCATCTGCTATTAGCTAATGTAGGCTATTGTGAGCATTCTCCATTCTTCAGGTCACTTAGTACTGTTCTTCATGGTAATTTTTGTCTTGAACTGCTGGTTTTCCTTCTATGGAGGAATTCCTACATCAATGTGGTTACATTTTTTTTCTAATGTAATGCCATTCTGAGTATTTTGTGGTTTAGTGTTATGGCTGATGCTATGTCCACTTTCTTCCAGCATTCTTTTCCATTTTTAATTGAATTGAGATATTGGACTGAAATTTATAAGAGTTTATGCCGGTTATCTTTCTAACCCAAGTAACAACAATGACACCAGAATTGTCTACCCACATGCTATAAGACTGGTAAAGCTCTGACCAAATATAGCCCATTTAACAATATGGTGAACTGGAAGTTGACCCTGTATATCAGGGGTATCAAACTCAAGGCAGTGGGCTGAATCTTTCCTGCAGGGTGCTTAGATTTGGCCTCTGGGGCCGACTTGGAAACAGCTAAGGACAGTGTCTCTGCTAGTGAAAACAGAGCTTGGGGAAACCACTTGTAGCCATCCTGAGCTCCATTTTCAATCGTGTTGGCCTCCTGCAGCCTTCTGTCAGCAAAAACAGTTTGAGGGTATGCACAGTCCTCCCAAGCACTGTTTTTTCTGGCAGAGGGCTGAGGAGACCATCATGGCCAAAATGGACACCAAGCTGGACACGCCCACCCTGGACATGGACCTCCAGCCACCTGAAGACAAATACAACCCTGATGCAGCCCTCAATGAAATTGAGTTTGACACCGCTGCTGTAAATTGTTTGTTTGTTTGTTTG